TATTACTCTGAATGAGTTGAAGAACACATATTTCGTGTGGCTATAGTTAATCTGTCACGGCTGCGCAAGCTTCCTTTGAATATTACATCGATGCCAGATGTTTCCATGCACCAGGGGGATAACATTACAGTGGATAATAGAAGGGTAAAACTCTAGACTTGCACAAGTCTCTAAGGTAAAAATTAATAGTTTAAATGATCATTTTGTATAAAATAATAAATTACAGATCTAGACATGCCTCTTTGAAAGATAGAATTACTATACATGCATGGGCTCAGCATACAGGACAGCTGTGGTGCAAGGCTAGCATATCCTATACTTGCCAGCTTATCACTGTATTCAGCTTCACTGATTTGTGCGTCAAGCTGAAAGTACACCAGATGGCTTTCATTACTGGAAACATTTAACAAGCTTAATATCTTTACTTTACTTTTCATTTGTGGAATTATGGTGGACTAATTAATTAGTAACGAAATGGTCTATCTGAGTTGATGTAGCACTTCTTGTTTAGCTGAATTAACGACCAGTCACGGTCGACATTATCGTCAATGCTGTAATCAATTGGTTCTGTCATTCATGATCTGGTAAATAATTTACACGTAAATTTGTCTGATAGTTAATGGGAAACAAATGTCAGTTGCAAGCTGTGGTAGGTTTATACAAAAAGGTCCATTGAGTGGCCTGAGTTGGTTTAGGGATTTGCACACAGTGTTCAAGGTATTATCTGTGGGAACTGGGTAGGAATAGGCAACAGTTTCCTGTAACAAATATCTGATGCTTGTTGTGGTACGTGTGTTCAAAAAGGTCCACTGATTGGCTAGAGTCAGAGGAGGGATATGCACAAAGTACTCATGGTATTATCTGGGAGAACTGGGTAGGAATATGAATTCACAATGCCTTCTGGGTAGGAATAGATCCTCAGCATCTTCGTCCTTGGTTTGTCCAGGGTGTTTATCTGTAGTGTGCTCTGTTCCCAGGACCCGTTCCCCACAGTGACTTCTTTTGTAGATAGATTTTGCACACTTCATTTTCACGAGTGTTTCAGTGGTAATTTGATAAACTTTCAGGACAAAAGGTGTGTGTGTGCGTGCGTGCGTGCCCCTGAACCCCTAGTCTGGATCCGCCTATGCTGGCAATTCAAGGATATAGTGAATTTTTAAGAAAATACTTTAAAAAAAAGAAAAGAGATCCACCAATAAATTTACTAGATATGCAAAAAAAGAAGGATGTAGTGAGGTATTGCATACGCTAAGAGGAGAATAGATTAGATAGGGAACAGATATGTCAAGATATCAGCTACTGGTATGTCAGGCCTAATGGTAACTACTGCCAGTATGTTAAGTGTGAAATTTCATTGTTCAAGTTAATTTGAATTTTGGAGAACAAGAGCTTTAAAAACAGTCAGTCTATCAAGGGCACTGAGTGTAAAAATGCTTGAAAATTTGCCATGTAATGCAGTCACTTGCCATACACTAGGATCAACAGATTGTAGAAAAAGTCACCTCTTACAACAAGAACACATTGCTGTTCCGCACATGAATGGATTAAATGTGATAATACCACCTATGCAAATATAGCTAAACAAGCAGAAAAAATGATACAGTAAGCTGTGGTTATTACAGTCAAACAAACCACTAATTTTAGTTTGTTATAATCCTAAGTTCATCATAAGCATCTCAGCTAAATATATAGCATGCTGTTTGTACCAACAAACCGCTCGTTAGATCCATCAATTAATTAAAAGCATGTTTATTATGTGCATAGTTTTTCAAAATTCAAAATTCACTGTTTTACGAAATACGCACTCAAAATCCAAAGGATACAGTTAAAATGTTATCCTGGCTAGCTATTCTCAAAACGTTTGTAGCCCTACGGACTTCTTAAACCCATTCTTAACACATTGGCTATGATCAAAGTTAAGAATTCTTAGGGCTATGAAAGTTTTGAGAATAAGGGCCCTGGAGTCTGGACACCACACTTAGAAATAAATATTATACATTTTAAAACAACATCAGATTTATGCATCATCACAAAAGAGATGACAGACACGTAAAATGACAGACACATCTCCTCGATCTTACAAGACCTCCATTGGCTGCCAGTGAGACAACGTATCCAGTTAAAGATCCTGGTGTTTGTCTTCAAATCGATGCATGGTCTAGCTCCTGAGTACATCAGTGAACTCCTATTCCATCTACACTCCAAGGAGAGATCTCAGGTCAAGATCATCAAGAGCACTTGATGTTCCTATGACCAGGAAAAGACACTATGGGGATAGATCGTTCTCCAAAGCCGGCCCCTGGCTCTGGAACCATCTTCCGCAGCACATTCAGAACATTGTCAATCTCAACCAAAGAACCATATCCATAGAACTCTCCTCGTTGTTAATCTCATCCATAGAACTCTCCTCGTCAATCTCAACCAAAGAACCATAACCAAAGAACCATATCCATAGAACTCTCCTCGTTGTTAATGTCAACCATAGAACCATATCCATAGAACTCTCCTCGTCAATCTCAACCATAGAACCATATCCATAGAACCATATCCATAGAACTCTCCTCGTCAATCTCAACCATAGAACCATGTCCATAGAACACTCCTCGTCAATCTCAACCATAGAACCATGTCCATAGAACTCTCCTCATTGTTAATCTCAACCATAGAACCATATCCATAGAACCATATCCATAGAACTCTCCTCATTGTTAATCTCAACCATAGAACCATATCCATAGAACTCTCCTCGTCAATCTCAACCATAGAACCATATCCATAGAACTCTCCTCAGAACCAATCTAGAACTCTCCTCATAGAACCATAGAACTCTCCCATACCATAGAACCATATCCATAGAACTCTCGTCGTTAATCTCAACCATAGAACCATATCCATAGAACTCTCCTTGTCAATCTCAACCATAGAACCATATCCATAGAACTCTCCTCGTCAATCTCAACCATAGAACCATATCCATAGAACTCTCCTCGTTGTTAATCTCAACCATAGAACCATATCCATAGAACTCTCCTCGTTAATCTCAACCATAGAACCATATCCATAGAACTCTCCTCGTCAATCTCAACCATAGAACCATATCCATAGAACTCTCCTCGACAATCTCAACCATAGAACCATATCCATAGAACTCTCCTCGTCAATCTCAACCATAGAACCATATCCATAGAACTCTCCTCGACAATCTCAACCATAGAACCATATCCATAGAACCATATCCATAGAACTCTCCTCGTCAATCTCAACCATAGAACCATATCCATAGAACTCTCTCCTCACATCTCAACCATAGAACCATATCCATAGAACTCTCCTCGTTAATCTCAACCATAGAACCATATCCATAGAACTCTCCTCAATCTCAACCATAGAACCATATCCATAGAACTCCATATCCATAGAACCATATCCATAGAACTCTCCTCGTCAATCTCAACCATAGAACCATGTCCATAGAACTCTCCTCGTCAATCTCAACCATAGAACCATGTCCATAGAACTCTCCTCATTGTTAATCTCAACCATAGAACCATATCCATAGAACTCTCCTCATTGTTAATCTCAACCATAGAACCATATCCATAGAACTCTCCTCGTTAATCTCAACCATAGAACCATATCCATAGAACTCTCCTCGTTCAATCTCAACCATAGAACCATATCCATAGAACTCTCCTCGTTGTTAATCTCAACCATAGAACCATATCCATAGAACTCTCCTCGTTAATCTCAACCATAGAACCATATCCATAGAACTCTCCTCGTCAATCTCAACCAGTTTAAACGACAACTGAAAACCCACTTGTTCAACGTAGCCTTACCCTTTAGCTCCTTTGAGCAATATTTTGGAACAGGAGCTATACAAATATTAACTTTATTAATTTATTATTATTTATAAAATGCACAGTTTAGGCCATTGAACGTTCAAGTCTGTGACATGGTGATGCTAAAACTGTTGCCATCTCAGTGAAAATAGAAAGACAAACTTTCCAAACAGCAACTGCTTGTAGTCTAATCTCCAGGAGAAATGACCTTCACTGAAATTTGAAGATGGATGAAAAGTATGCTTGTTGTTTGCATGCCTTACCATCTTTCAGAATGCCAGCGAAATGCTTGAATAACCTGGAGGTCATCACTGGAAGTGATACCATCTGAGAAGAATATACAAAAGATTACAGGGACCATTATGTAGTTTGGTCGCGGTAAAGGAGGGGTTTATACATTAATAAGTGCATTTATAATGCGCTAAACTCCATTCACTAGATGAATGCTCAAAGCGTGAACAATTAAATCACAGCACATTATTACCCCGGATAACCCAAGCTGCCTTTGAGGCACTGGAAGGTTAATACTCACCTATCCCACCGGGTACCCATTTTCTGCTGGGTGAAAACTCACTTGCCTAAGGTGAGACCACAAAAATGAAACATACAACTTTATGGATGACAACTTCTTTTTTATTGCGTTGAGCGATGTTTCGATGTAGATTCTTACACCGTTATCAAGATGTAAGAATCTACATTGAAACGTTGCTCTATGCAATAAATAAGAAGTTGTCATCAAGAAAGTCGTATGTTTCATTTTTGAGTCACCAACTTTAAGACTGCCCATCAAACACATGTATCACATGTGCTTCTTTGTGGGGCAGGACTGTAGTCCTAAAAACTCTCAGGAGTCAAGCTGGCAAACATGGTCACCCATCCAAGGACTTTCCGTGCGCAATATTGCTTAACTTCAACTGAGTTGTGACTTAGCTGTATGCACAGAACCACATACCACCACATTACTTACAGATAGGTCCAGAAGTTGGTTTGGCTATGCTTCTTTGAGTAGGGGATTGATACAGGGAATTTGCAATTCTTCATTTGGATATATTCTTTTGTATTTTTGTAATAGACATCTTTGAGTGTTTGCCTCTTTTGTGACCAAATTGTACTGGTGTTGATTATGGCCCTAACTCAACTGAACAAATTTTGTTTTAGACTGATGATCTCTCTTGACAAGATGGATCCTACGAAAGTGTGGCGGATACTGGTGGTTGTGCGTCTGCTCAGCGTCTTTTTGCCGCAGTCTGGGTATCTCCACCCTGATGAGTTCTTCCAGACCACAGAAGTTGTTGCAGGTACGTACAGAAGTGAAGTGTGTGGGGTAATTGTTACAAGCCTCTAGACCGATGAGTTACTCCTACTAGACTGGTAACACATGTTATATTTGGGATTACACGTTCCTGGTAAAGTACAGAATCTATTACTTTTGTTGGGTTGAGTCCCGTCCAGGATTTGATCCCACACTCTCAGAGTCAGGCACCTAATCACCAGCACACAAAGTCGGCCATAGGCTGGTGATTAGGTGCCTGACTCTGAGAGTGTGGGCTCAAATCACGGATGAGACTCAACCCAACAATTGATTCAAAGGACATGTCAGGTGATATCCTTGACGTCCAACTGTCACTCACTATAATGCTGTGTCTCTCCGTTACAGGTGATATCCTTGACATCCAACTGTCACTCACTATAATGCTGTGTCTCTCCGTTACAGGTGATATCCTTGACGTCCAACTGTCACTCACTATAATGCTGTGTCTCTCCGTTACAGGTGATATCCTTGACGTCCAACTGTCACTATAATGCTGTGTCTCTCCGTTACAGGTGATATCCTTGACGTCCAACTGTCACTCACTATAATGCTGTGTCTCTCCGTTACAGGTGATATCCTTGACGTCAAACTGTCACTCACTATAATGCTGTGTCTCTCCGTTACAGGTGATATCCTTGACATCCAACTGTCACTCACTATAATGCTATGTCTAACCGTTACAGGTGATATCCTTGACGTCCAACTGTCACTCACTATAATGCTATGTCTCATCGTTACAGGTGATATCCTTGACGCCCAACTGTCACTCACTCACTATAATGCTATGTCTCTTCGTTACAGGTGATATCCTTGCCCAACGTCCAACTGTCACTCACTATAATGCTATGTCTCTCGTTACAGGTGATATCCTTGACGTCCAACTGTCACTCACTATAATGCTATGTCTCTTCGTTACAGGTGATATCCTTGACGTCCAACTGTCACTCACTATAATGCTATGTCTCTTCGTTACAGGTGATATCCTTGACATCCAACTGTCACTCACTATAATGCTATGTCTCTCAGTTACAGGTGATATCCTTGACGTCCAACTGTCACTCACTATAATGCTATGTCTCTTCGTTACAGGTGATATCCTTGACGTCCAACTGTCACTCACTATAATGCTGTGTCTCTCCGTTACAGGTGATATCCTTGACATCCAACTGTCACTCACTATAATGCTATGTCTCTCAGTTACAGGTGATATCCTTGACGTCCAACTGTCACTCACTATAATGCTATGTCTCTCAGTTACAGGTGATATCCTTGACGTCCAACTGTCACTCTGACTATAATACTGTCTCTCTCCGTTACAGGTGATGTCCTTGATGTCCAGCATCACAGAACCTGGGAGTTCACATGGGAAAATCCAATCCGCACTATCCTGCTCCCCTATGCTGCTTATGGACCGGTCCTGTTCTTGTTGCGTCTGCTGAATCTTGCCACGCCCTGTCTGGTGTTGGTGCTGCCAAGACTCGTCATCTCAATCGCTGGCATCATCGTCGACAGCTGCACCTTTGACTTATGCCGCAAGTACAACAGCGGCTACACCAGCGGCTACACCAGCATGCTGCTTTACGCAACATCCTACGTAGCATGGACATACATGACCCACACCTTCTCAAACTCCATCGAAACCATTCTGTTTTCCATCTTATTGGTTATGACAAGCGGAGCTTGTTCTACAATGTTGAAACAGAGAAGGGGAAGTCAGTGTTCATGGTGTGAAACTGCTCTCATTGCTGCCATCTTGACTGTTGGGATGTTCAACAGACCCACATTCCTCATCTTTGCATTTGTGCCTGTTACTCACTGGTTGTGGAATGCTGTTGCTTCTGAAAGAAAGTTTTCTGATAGGATCAATCATTTTGTTAGTCAATTATCAATCATGTCCATTGTTTGTGTCATGATTTCAGTTGTTTTTGTAGTTGTTGATACATTGTATTTCAGGTACGAATCTGTCCGACATATCCCGAAAGATCTCGAGAATTGTGTGTTCAGTGACAAGAAGATTGAGTGTCTCAGGGATATGTACACTACGTACAAGCGGTCAATAGTTATCTCCGCTTACAACTTCCTAGTGTACAATTCCGATTCAAGCAACTTGAGTCACCATGGCAACCATCCCTTCTACTTCCACACACTGGTCAGTCTGCCATTGTTGTTTGGGCCGATGGTGATCTTTGTGTTGTGGCGACTTCTCAAAAACATGTTGAATGTAATGCTCGGTGGATCTCTCAAAGTCAACAGCGACTTTCATCTTGATGATATCTACCTCGTGTCCTGTTTTGCTTTCCCACTTGTCGTGTTTTCATGCATATCTCATCAAGAACCCAGGTTTCTGCTGCCACTGTTTCCATTAGGAGTTGTCATAGCAACGAAAACAATGACATCGTTCAAGATGAAGAAGTTGATTTTTATGAAGTTCTGTGTGGTCAATTTGCTGGGTCTCCTAGTATTTGGGTTTCTGCATCAAGGAGGGATTGTGCCCGGGATCTCACACCTCCAGAAGAAGATCGCCTCTAATAAAGGTGATAGTCACGTGGTGTTTTATCACACCTACATGCCGCCAGAACATCTGTTCCTCCACCCAGAAGAGTCGGAATCAAAACTGTACATCTATGATCTCGGAGGAGCATCCTTTGAGAAGCTTGAGAAGAGGATGGAAAGCATCAGAGTCACTGCTGCTGGCAAAGGCGAAAGGAGTGGAATTTGGATCGTGGCACCTAAAACAGTTGTAGCAGACGTGAAAAAGCTGAGTATCAAATATGGCACCGTAGACAAATATTGGCATCTAAGTATGGAAGATCCACCCAGAATGGTAGAGTGGTTCAAACGCGAGCTGTCGTTTTCTGAGATTGTAGGTGACTTTAAGCTCGTTGTGGCAGAAGTGAAGTCATGGAAGCTGTTCAAAGATGGCGACCAGACTAAGAAGAAGAGTTCCCGTTGATCACGTCTGTACTTCATTACCATCAACACTTCATCCCTTCCATTGGAACACTTCCCATTTGTTTACAGCATCTGTTTATCATCAACGGGAAGGTTATTTGGGTATTACACAATCTACATCTTTTTAGTTAGTTTATGAAAATGACTAATAAAAATCAGAATATAAATAAATAATTAAAATGAGTTTGAAACCTGTCTGCATTACAATTAGGTGAAATTAAAAACACAGAAGATTTTTTACAGCTGATTTAGTAAAAATATTGATATTGAGAATTAAAAAACAAGAAATATTATTTTACAGTTACACTTAAATGATGGGGTAGCTATGAGATTGTTTTTTTGTATTAGACCAGTATTCGTCGACAGGTTGTTCTAAGTAGGTTTTCAACCATATTCAAATTTAGGCCAAATTTTGCATTAATCAAATAATAAAAGATGAATGGTTTTATTTTGTGTTTAATAGAAGAGTTCTGTTCTGATGGGACACTGAAATCACATATGTCCATTTACTGAACAATTATTCCATTAGGATTTGACTATTCTGTGTCAATGTTTTTGTGACTGAATAGTGTTGCATGAATAAATCAGAAAGTATTTTTTTGTCTTTTGCAGATAAAAGAACATTTGTTAAACAAATATAACTTTAAATATGAAACTTTATTTGTGAAACCATGGTTACAGAATGGAGTTTGTGTTATTTCCATGCATATTTGATTCATTAAGTGAATAATATATAAAGGTCATCCACAGTTATCAAACATATTGTCTAATGGTTAGGCAAATCAGGCCAGCTCTTGAAGTGTGAAGCCTCTCAGTGATTTCATTTTCATCAATAACCATTTTCTCAGGTTTGGCATGATTTAGAAAAATGAGTGGCACCTATCAGACGCTCAAAGAGTTAATAACAGTGTTCGCGAATAGTGTCTGACCCTCTGACAAATCCGGCAGATTCGCCAACGGTCTGATAGAAGTCTACAACCCACCTGCCCCAGTGTCCGACTGTATATTTCACAATGACTTTGACTGAAGTTGTTATATGTGACATGTGACACTTGTTTGCTGTTTATTTTATCTTAATTTTTCTTATGTTTGTTAATAATTTCAATGCCAATTATAAGAAATGTTAAATATGAAATGTGTGTTTAATTTTATTCCATGGGTCCTGTGAATTTTCAGTGGGTCAGACAGACATCTTAAACTTACAGGACCCAATGTCCTGTTTCTTTGAAACACCATTCGTGAACACTGGTTAATAACATTTCCTTAAGTCATTTGCTTAGAGCTATCATGCTATCTATGGAATATGAAGCATTACAGGATTGGGGAAAGAGGGGGTGGTTGTATGGCCGGACCTCACAAAGCCGTCAGGCAGCTAATGACATATAGCATGGTATATTGACATGGTATATTGACATGGTATATTGACATGGTATATTGACATGGTATATTGATATGGTATATTTACATGGTATATCAGAACCATGACATGCTGGCAGCTGTTAGAGATGGGTTGTTTATTATAGAGGTGGGGAATCTAGAATCGGGGGTGTCACCAACAAATATGACAATCTCTAGGGGAGGGTTAGAAAAAATAATACACCTATTTGTTGAGGGTCATGAAAAAGTGAACTTTTGCTTTTTGTCTTTTACAGGAAGTTTGAGAAAAATGGTTTATGAGGACAAAAACATGACAAGCATTACAGAGGGAAACTATTTTCAGTACCAGTACATTAAAGTTTTTAAAAAAACTATGGACACCTCCTTCCCTTGTATCCTCCACATCAAATTCCCTCCTGGTAGTATATAGATTAGACGGATGTCCTGTCAGAGGTCTGTCTGCTGTGAGAATTATTTGTTGTGTGGGAGACGGTATCCAACTAATCAGGTCAAGTACTGCTGACATCATAACTCAGTTTACATCACAAAGGATCAGAGTGGCTATATTTAGCATACCGTCATTCAGACTAATGCACAGTCTATGATGATGAGAGAGTCCATGTTATTTTCTATATTATCTAACACTGGAAATCAGGGATGGAGGTGGGGAGGTACCAGATTTTTTGTTTAGCAGCAAAATGTGAATATATAACTATAATGTCACAACCTACTGTTGTCGGTGATTAAAAATATGCTTTTTTACACCTGTTTGTGAAAGGTTTTTAATTAATTTATTTTTTAAAGCAACAGCCCAACATCAACTGTGACATATTTTTTTTTTAATTATTTTTTTTTTTATTGCCATGAGCCTTGTGGCACATCTACAATATTGTCAATTAAAAGTATTCTAAATAATCCATTCTTCAGTGATAAGAATGAAGTTTACTATCCATCAAATGAACATTATAATGTAGTTTATAGCAGGAACAGTGTCTAAAAATACCAAATTAGAGATAAATGTCCAGTCAAGTATATTGTGTTGAATTTAGTGGATGATACGGATCATACTGCCCCTGTAGGATATGACTGTTTCACCGCGGCTCAAAGTATTCATGAATTATGCCACTCCACTGCCACATGTGTAAGGGTGTAGCAGATAGCATAAGCTATGCTCAGTGATTCACTGCTGTATTATTACACATACCAGAGATGATGTTGTGAAGCTGCTTGATACACAGTCTGGGTTAGGTAATATTTAGGCAGGACTAATGATGTTTGTGTTTTGGCAAAGGATCCAAATATAGATCAATTTGTAGTTCTTTCATAAAGATACATTAATGTTTATTTTTGTATTTAAAAAATAGTAAAAACTTTTTATAAACTTTTACGATGTACTACTGGCCTAGCTGTGCAAGACAGTATAATTTGTCAGGCAGAGTAGTTTCCCTTAGGTTTACAGAGTTCGGTCCCTTAGGCAGTTGTGATCAAACTGATAGTGGGTTTGAATCCCAAATATCCCTGATGTTGTTTCTAGATTTGCGATCATGATACTCATGCATTTATTTATTTTTCCAAAGTGGTATTTGTTTTCTTCACACATCGACGGTCGTGCATTTACTGATGTGTTGTTTCAGATCAAGTACGCTCACACTCACTATAAACTTCATATTAAATATAATTTATGTCGACCACAGTTATGATAATCATCAGTCTACGTAAGCTTAGGCTCAGTATTATTCGTTACACTGCTATACTGAGTCAAACCTAGTAGAAGGTCGCGCCACCTAACCTTTTGGACTGACCAATCAGAACACAGCTTACCAAATCGCGAAAGTTAACATTCGCACATACCGTTTGAACCTTTACCTCAAAAACTCCAACGATTCCGAATGCTATTTTCCAACGATTTCCAAATGATCGCTACGAGTGACACTGATACACGCAATGAGTAAACAGTTGCTGAAAATAGCGTTTTTGTCAATATTCAAGGATGTCATCTTGCGAAAATATAAGCAAATAGTAACCATGTGATTAGAAACCCATAAGCGTATATACTGCAGGTCAAATATCTGTGTTTTATGCTGATTTTCGTTTGTTTATAGATCAGTGTTGGCGACCAGGGAGGAGAAAATAAAAACAAACATTTTGTAAGTCCCGCCGAACCATAACAAGTAGTCTTTGTCTGATTGGTTAAATCCGGTCAGCCATCTCCCGTTTGATTGGACGGTCATAGGTCGCTCAAAGGTTAGCGGACGTGACCTTCTACAAGGTTTTGTTATACTCAGCATAGCAGTATAAACAAATAATACTGAGTCTAAGTTTACTCTGACTGGATAATCATCAACTTAAAATGAACACAACTCACAGGATGTTCAAAGAACATGACCATACCACTGAATCTGTTCTTAGCTTCCTGGGGAGTATACATAATCAGTGGTAGCCAGTAATTAGTGGCGGTTATAGGGTTGTTTAGAGGTATTATACTGAAGTCAGTAGTTCAGGCAGATGGAGAGCAATGTTAGCGATAATGCGCTGTAGACAGCGACGATATTCATGTAACTGGTGCTATTTGAACGCATTTTTACCATAATCATAATAATTTAGAATTGTGGGCTTTTTCATGTTATTTATTGCATTCAACATTTACTCTTGAATAACGCTCTTACTAGGTTGTGTATTTCATGTTGCTATGAATATGTCGGAGGAATTCTTTTAGTTTAGAAAACGTTGATGGAAATGGAAATTATCAGTAGATAAAACTATTGTTTCCAAACAGTACACCTATCATATCTCCAGATTTGGATGTAGACAAACACTTTGTGGCAAGGGATATTGGTTGTCACAGTTCTTTGATAGCTTCAGGACTGGGGTCTTGTGGAAGGTGTGAGGATCTACCACCATGAATCAAATCATATTTTCCCTCCTTGTTAGGGGATGATGAAAACACGGGTTTGATTCCTAACGTGGTATGTGTGGCACCCATTCTTGGAGTGTCCCACTGTGGATGCTAAAATCAAGTCAGTTTCACTTTACTGACCAAGGTGGTCTCAGGTTCTGAAATCACTCTATAGAGTTGTGATCCTAGCTGTGCTAACATTTGAACCCATTTTGTTTGTATGTTTTTCCCATATCAAGCTGGCATGTCCATGTTGGCATTGAGCAAAAGTCACTGACTTATCACTCTTAGAGTGAAGAGTACAGGCGAAGTTCACACACAGTTCTCTCCCTTGCTGCTAATGTGTCTGTTGAGCAGAATATGAGAACCTGTAAGTTTTTTGTTTCTTGTATTGTATCAGATGAATCAGTAGAAAGTGTTTTATTAAATTTGTTTAAGTAAATAATTTGTTTTTCTTTGAAACAATGTCAAATCAATTTGCCTTTGTTCTTTGTATGTTGAAATATAGACTGATAGTTATGTGTTGGGGCTTTGGTGAAACAAACACAAAAACATTGTAACATATATTTTTTTATTTCTTTACAAAAATAACATACAATGTTACATAAATACATGTTTTGATTACAGCAATGAACACCAAGACTGCGGCGTGTCGATCCCTCATGTGTGTAAAATACAACTGGTAAATGGATATAAGGAAATAACTTTGTATGCATTATATTTTTATATTTTATATTTTGTAATTACCCCCAAGTAGAAATATATTAGCAAAGAAGTGACCACACAAGACAATTTCTTTTCACACTGGACATATTTTGACACAAACCCAAATCTGCAAAATGCTGTTCCTAAACTTTTTTCATGAGTATAGTTCACGTGTTGTGTTGTAATGCAATGTTGGTTGTGACAAACTTTAAATATAGATGAGTCAGGACTGGTAATTTATTATCTAGGGGTAAGGAGAAAGGAATTACTTCTAAGAATGGGAGACGTAAAAATGTTACACAATATAGGGTGAGGAGGATTTCAGCAAAATGTGACACATAGTGATGAGACAAATACCTCGTGCCGCTAAAATCTCTAATTTTTGTAATAAATTACCAGTCCCTTGTAGTTTCAATAGTTGTGATCATGTGCACGAATTTGGTTTGCTTCGTCTTGACACTTTTAGTTTGAGTTTCTGTGAATGTTTGATGTATCATGAAACTGTTTATTATCAGTACACCCAACACTGTCCGACATGACACTAGGGCTGCAACGATTCACCCACACCTCGATTCGATTCGTTTCATATTGGATCCTCTATTCAATCATTTTTTATTTGATTCTTCATAGAAGTAAAAAACATCAGCTTTTATTTAACTCTCGGGGTGTTCAGCGTGAAATCCATCGTCAATTTGCCGATGTCTACTAACAACAATTCTCATTCGATACTTAGCCCGGCGTCAACCAATCACGTTTCGCCCGATTTCAGTGCTCGAAACTGCTCGAGTTGAGTCAAAATTATGTTCTGGCTGTGTGGAAATAATTTAAATAGGTTTTCAAATGTCGAATCGAAATAGTGATAATGGTTATGGAAAATCGAAAATTAAGGTGTCAGATTCGATTTTAGATGAAGCAAACCGAATCGTTGCGGCCCTACATGACACAGTTTATACTTAATGTACTGCTTATGCTAGTGCTTAGTATGTAGATCACTTTATATTAAAGAACAATCACAAAATAAAGGTATACAATCAATCTCACATTGTTTGTTATATACTATCTGACAACGGTGTCAAATCAGACTGTTTTGTTTTCACTTTAGCCCAGTGGGTAAGGTGTAACTCATCAGTCCTGGTTTGATCCCCCAGATGGGTACAATGTGTGTAGCCTCTTCCTGATATATTCCTGTACATAGCTTAAATGTCAACTTACTCACTCTGATAAACAACCAACATTTACATGTACATATTTCTTAGCCTTATTTCAACCCAAATAGTTTCTTCAAAGGTGTTGAGTAGTATAACAAATGTGTAGCAAATGTTGAGTGGTATAGACCAGCCAGAGAGTTACAAGGAATGACAGACAACGTGTTCTGAATGATTACGCTGGACCCATTCAACCATGGGCTGAGGGTAATAGCCAGTGTATGAAATAAGCCAAAACCCAGCCAGACATCAGAGTGGGCGGGTAACTTCAAAATGTTACCAGCCCAAAATGGATTTAACCAGACCAGACAATCCAAAGACAATAACTCAATTTTTAGTTACAATGAAAAATTAAAGATATGGTGAATTTACTCAGATGTATGGAACATGATATCAAAACATTTTACCTGACCATCGGGCTGGCGAGCTGTAAATGTAGACCGTCCGTCAGAAATCTAACCCGTCTTGGGCGGTCGGACAGGCCTTATTTCATACACTGTAATAGCTATTCACTATTACACAGTCAAACACTGTTGGGTTGAACTTACAGTTATCTCAAAGTATAAGCTTCACCTCTGTGTATTTCCCGCATAGGGATCACTATGTGGTTGTGTTGAACCACCGACAGATTGGGCTAGAGTTGATGTCAAGCAACCATGTTTGTCGTAAGAGGCAACAATGACGATTGGGTGGTCAGGCTGATGACTTGGGTGATTGTATATCTTCATATCTCATTTGTTGTTTAATGCCGCACTCCGCAATATCCCAGCTATATGTGGCAGTATGTAAATAATCAAGTCTGGTCCAGACAATACAGTGATCAACAGCATGAACATTGATCTACACAACTGGGATGACGTGTCTGACCATCCAATCCCGTTAGTCACCTCTTATGACAAGCATGGGTTACTGAAAACCAATCCTAACCCGGATCTTCATGGGTTCTTCATTAGTAAACGATGTGTGTGTTGATTATTTACATGCTACCTTGAGAAGCATAAAGCAACAAATATTTAAAATTAAAGAAAAGAATGGAATCTGAACCAGACATCACTTGATGTCTCAAATAAACAGTGAAGTTTCATTGGTCAACTGTCCTTGAGATTCCACTGAACATTACAATTCCTCCATGTGTAGTTCACCAACACTGACATCAAAGTGTGGCCATCACCAATGGCCGTCCATGTTGCTGGACTGTGAGACAATAAATGGCAGATCAGGTATTTGTAAATAAAGATATAAAATCAATAATAATGTTTAATAAATATAAACTTAGTAAATATGACTCCAACTACCTTTGCCAATACAGTTAATCATTCATGATATTAGATATATGGTAGTGATATGGTGTTTTATATGACACTTGGTTCATGAGGGGGGGGAAGTGGAATAAAATTAAAATTTTGTACTGAGTCACTTTGTTGATAACTGATATTGTCGATAATACATGTATAAGCAAACTTGGCCATTAGGGCAGGGGAAGTAACTCTGTTAGACAGCATCCAAAATACCTTTGTTTTAATTAATCTGTTAACTTCTTTACCTTGAACTCACAACTTTTCAGATCTCACTTTAAAAATAAAATGTTTCTACAATTTTATGTTATTTTAGCCTTCACTTCTATTCTCACCCTTTAGGAAGGAGAAGTGTAAACCAAACAATTAAAGTGTAAACCAATCAATTAAAGTGTAAACCAAACAATCAATGTTTGACCACAATATGTAGTGAGGAGGATAGTATTTGCAGCATGGTGTGCTGGGAAAACTATAAACTTAATAACTGTTGATACTGCCACCCATATTCTGAAACCATACATGAGACATATTTTCTTAAAATATCGCTTAAATATGAATTAACAGTTCAAAAATAACTCAATTTTAGAGTTTTATGTTGCCATATATGGTACTGTAAAATGACAGCTGAAGTTTGGAGTATTGAGTTAATAAAGAAACAAAACCCAAGTCACCTACACCCAGCTACATTACAAGTGACCTAAAACTTTATAAGTACAGTGAAACAATCCAATAAGCTTTGCTGCATTTTGCAATGGATTTTTGACAAAACTATCAGCTTGTATCAATGCAATATTTATATAAATGCAATGTTCAGATGAACTTTGAAGAAGAAATAAAACATAAATTCAAGCTTGACCACATTTCTAACAGCATTTTGTAGGTGTAAACAGTATCAACATCGATGCCTTCACTGCCTGTGGATACAACACTGCATCAGCAGTAGTTACCTCCCTTGACGAGTAGAATGGACATTTAAAACACTTCAGCTGCCTTTACACATGTGTTCTCCTCTGATAGGAATACACAAATCTGATCCTCATAATGTCAAGGTATATTTCAACAGAATGACATCTGATTGGAGCAGTACATTCAGTGTCATTATTGAAAGGTCTTCGAGGTATGTATGACATAGAACATGAATATAGACAAGCTAGTGTCACTTGAGATGCTAACAATGTGCCTTGGTTGAAGAACATGTTGTTTATGTAACCCTTTTGGATGCTTTATAGATTTGGTTGGTTGGTTGGTTGTTTAATGCCGCACTCAGCAGTATTCCAGCTATATGGTGACGATCTGTAAATAACTGAGTCTGGACCACACAATCCAATGATCAACAGCATGAACACCGATCTACACAGTTGGGATACGATGACATGTGTCAACCCAGTCAGCGACAAGCATTTATAGAACTTTAGAAGTGGAAGACTATTGAAAACACTGAAAAGATCAAGATGGAAGGACATGACCTCTGAAGACAACAATGCTTGACAATTTACAGTCAATGTGGATACAAAACCGTTCTTTCGTGAACTGCACTCTTGGCAGTTGATAATGCAAAGTTATTTTATGCTTTTATCTCTCATTACCTCCTTGACCCCCCCTCCACAATGACACTGAGTACAGGTTTCCTGAAAATGGTATGAACATCAGATCAATAAATGGCCATCTCATATGTTGTCAGTGATGTTGAGACATTGCTAGACGTATCCATGGAAGGTGATATAATCAGATTATCACCATGTGTAGTGTTCAGACATGGGTTCAGTCTGTGTCTACATCATCTTCAAAGCTGTCACTGTCTTCGTCATAGTTGAACTCTTGCTCATCCAGTCTCCCGTACTTCATGTCTTGGGTTGCAACTGGCGACAGAAGAGCGTCTCCAGCACTGGCGACCGGACTACTTCCATTTCCATTCCGTCGCACAGGAAGTCCAGAAACACGGGGAATACCTGTCCGGCGCGAAGGAAGTGGCTGACTCTTCTGAAACGTCATGATACAGTGGAGGTTCCTACCAACCTTCTTCGTCTTCTTCTTCTGCAGCCCACGGTACAGACGACGGATATCCAGGAAGTCAGGTGACTGGTTGTTCAGATCTGTGGAGATGTCCGACCATCTGGGAACAGAAACAATGAAAATATAGAGACCACCAGATAGTGCTGCCATTGCCTGCAATATCCAGATCCATACTTGGAGCTCAGTAATCAATCAATAATCAATTGTAATTGTAATCTTCACCAACAACGGCACATGATCATACCATTGTGCAAATGAAATAGGAAAGACGATCGAAGATACTTCCAGTTGAGACACGCACATGGTTATGTTGTTTACACTGCAGTTCAGAGAGTCAGGAAACTGCATCATTTGTTTATGTCTTGATTTAAAAAACATAAGAATAAGAACCAGAAAGTTTTATTTGATGTTTCATTTTTTATGAATATTGATTAGATCGATAATTTGACCGATTATTTTATAACCACTCTAGCACTACTGTCAATCTGATTACTTGTTGTGTCCATATGGAATATAGGATTTGAACCTCTTGAAGCAATTGTTTGTCATCATTGGTGGGAACAAGCACATGAAATATTAGCTTCATGAGCATGTACTAGTCACGTGGTTAGTGTGCTATATAAATATCATGTAATAATAATAATAATGATCTACTGGGGGCAGTGGGGTACTCTAGTGGTTAAAGTGTTCACTTGTCATGCCAAAGACCTGGGTCTACCATTCTTCTAAATATCCATAGGGGCAGTGGGTTAGCTTAGTGGTTGAAGCGTTCTCTTGTCATGCCGAAGATCCAGGTTCGACTCCCCATATGGGTACAATGTGTGAAGCCCATTTCTGATGTCCCCCGTCGTGATATTGCTGGAATATTGCTAAAAATTATACTCACTCATTCACTCACTCATGATCTAGTGGTTTCAGAGATTATCACACACACCGGTTGGTGTACAAACTCGACGTGACGTAAACTCACTTGAGATTCAGTGAGGTGAGGTAATTTAATCTGAAGTATCGTCTTAAGGAGTCCTCAGTCCTTCATGCAGACAAGTATTGTAAAAGATTTCCATTTGCTGAAGAGTGCCTACCTTTTGCAGTGTATGCTGGGATGGCTTGCGCTGGGGTCGCCGATCAGTATCCATGTGTTGACCTCCTCCTGAGGCAGGGGCCCACTGACATGGAAAAAAACACAAGAAAATCATCAATGAAAATATGCCTGTAATACCTCATAGAGACACACTGATTATATCCTGGTCGTGTGATATGATCCGTATCTCCATCCATATATTCCCGTATCTAGATGTGATACAAATTTTGCTCCCTTTTCAAAACATGTCAATTGCTACTTCTTTATATTTGAAAATGGCTTGTGTAGAAACAATTAGGAAAACATTGATATCACATACTGCAAATACGATATTAAGGCAACCTGATTGTTTCATATAACTACAATTTACAGAGCTAGGAAACATTTCATCAATGTAGGTTGAATAAAAGTAGTTCCTGCTTGGCAACTTTATCTGCATATTTATATTCACGATATCAGATTTGGTATTGATATATGGCTAACACTAGCCGCTGTATGATACACTGAGTTACCTATAGGCGGCGTCTGCTCGCACTGGCGTGTCATCGTAGCCTATAGGACAGAAGTAGTGGTTCTGACAGTGGTAGATGTAGGCAGTGTTGGGGTCCTTCAGTCCCGTCTTCAGGTTTTGGAGAGCGTCGTCTGACGTGACCCCAGACGTCCGGTTCTTTCCGTTGGGTTTATACATGTAGTAACAGCGCGCCCTTTGACCTTGAAATGGTCATTTAACTGACGGAACCATCTGTGAAAATTAAAATAAGTTCTGTCAGTTTGAAGTTCTAATTAACCAATAATGTAAAGATGAGTTTCATTTGCATATTTATCTTTTGTCTACATCTGTTGTATGCTCAACATGCTGTTGTCTCTCCAAGGAATTCCACAACAAAATGGGTCCCCAGTACCTCTCTCTCATGAGTTCAAGGACAGGGCCTAGATTTTAGAAGCTCTCTTAGCACTAAGATAGTCGTAAATTAATGTTAATGTATGGCACTTGCGATTACCTTAGCACTAAGAGAGCTTTGAAAATCTAGGCCCTGGATATGCCCCCAGTATCCAATACACTCTATCCCCATGTCCCCAAGGGATACATGTATTGGTTCTGGGGGTCCACATCAGCCCTCAACTCATGAACCCAAAGACAGCCGAGGAAGTCATGACTCACCTTAAAAGTGTTATATTCCCTGTAAAGGGGCCAAACCCGATCTCGCTGAAGGGTGGCTGGAATCCCAGGATGACCAGAGCTTCCTCCTGTGTGATGGGGTTGAGGCTGCACAAAGATGAGTGAGTGAGTGAGTGAGTTTGTTTTACACCTTTTGGCAATATTCCAGCAATATCACGGCAGGGGACACCAGAAATGGGCTTCACACTTAGTGCCCATGTGGGGAATCGAACCCGGGTCTTCAGCATGGCGAGCGAACTCTTTAACCACTAGACTCTCCCACCACCCCGCACAAAGATGAGATACTGTAGGCTCTGGTTACACTAAGTGACCATAGTACTATAACAGTAGGTCTTGAGAGAGTTACAGTCACCTTAGTCCTGCAGTTGTTATCAGGAATGGGGCCTGGAAGAGCTCTTGTTACATGATGGAAACATACGAAACAATGTTAATGTTACATCTACTTGAACATACAGCTTGTTCAGCTTGACCTGAGCTACTCTACATATGCATGACCCGGGAGGTCAATAGGCAGGTCGAGTTAACTTCATTAAATAGGGGAGCAGAGAATGTTAAACGGCGACCTAGTCTCGGCTGTGTGGGCATGTTGACAATCAACTGACAAAGGTGCACCCCTTCACAATAATAGACCGAACCAGTTGTGACACGGTCATGCAATGCATTAGTATTCACTTGATCAGGTCAAACTGAACAAGCTGTAGGACCTATGACAGTCACAGGTACTCTGACATACTTCACAGGTAGATCCAACTCTCCTGCATTGTCCCAAGGCACTGAACAGGTAGATCCAACTCACCTGCATTGTCCCAAGGTACTGAACAGGTAGATACAACTCACCTGCATTGTCCCAAGGTACTGAACAGGTAGATACAACTCACCTGCATTGTCCCAAGGTACTGAACAGGTAGATCCAACTCACCTGCCAGGTACTAAACAGGTAGATCCAACTCACCTGCCTTGTCCCAAGGTACTGAACAGGTAGATCCAACTCACCTGCCTTGTCCCAAGGTACTGAACAGGTAGATCCAACTCACCTGCCTTGTCCCAAGGTACTGAACAGGTAGATCCAACTCACCTGCCTTGTCCCAAGGTACTGAACAGGTAGATCCAACTCACCTGCCTTGTCCCAAGGTACTGAACAGGTAGATCCAACTCACCTGCCTTGTCCAAAGGTACTGAACAGGTAGATCCAACTCACTTGCCTTGTCCCGAGGTACTGAACAGGTAGATCCAACTCACCTGCCTTGTCCCAAGGTACTGAACAGGTAGATACAACTCACCTGCCTTGTCCCAAGGTACTGAACAGGTAGATACAACTCACCTGCATTGTCCCAAGGTACTGAACAGGTAGATACAACTCACCTGCATTGTCCCAAGGTACTGAACAGGTACATCCAACTCACCTGCCTTGTCCCAAGGTACTGAACAGGTAGATCCAACTCACTTGCCTTGTCCCGAGGTACTGAACAGGTAGATCCAACTCACCTGCCTTGTCCCAAGGTACTGAACAGGTAGATACAACTCACCTGCCTTGTCCCAAGGTACTGAACAGGTAGATCCAACTCACCTGCCTTGTCCCAAGGTACTGAACAGGTACATCCAACTCACCTGCCTTGTCCCAAGGTACTGAACAGGTACATCCAACTCACCTGCCTTGTCCCAAGGTACTGAACGGGTAGATACAACCCACCTGCCTTGTCCCAAGGTACTGAACAGGTAGATACAACTCACCTGCCTTGTCCCAAGGTACTGAACAGGTAGTTCCAGCAGGAGACGAGGGACGAGGCCCCGCAGGATGTCTTGTACTGGGGACGACTGATGCAGCACCTGTATGGCAACATTTACTTGAGTAAGAGAGTGAGTGTTGTTGCATGCTGCACTAAAATATATTCCAGTGACCTGACAATGTACACATCTGGGCCAGACAAACTTGTAATTGCTAGCATCAGTAACAATCCACCTCTGATTATTAAAGGTGTTTTTTTAAAGTGTTAAGCACTCAGATTTCAATTTTGTACATGATGCCTCAACCTTTAGGGGCCATGGTTGAAAGAGATCACAAGGTACATCAGAAGATTATAGATTTGTACTCTTTTAAGGAAATTGACCTGTGAAGGTACGGGTTAGAATATCGATCTTCAGTAACCCATGCTTGTTGTAAGAGGTGACTAACGGGATTGGGTGGTCTGGCTCGCTGACTTGGTTGACACATGTCATCGGTTCCCAATTGTGCAGATTGATGCTATTGATCACTGGATTGTCTGGTCCAGACTCGCCACCATATAGCTGGAATATTGCTGAGTGTGGCGTAAAGCTAAACTCACTCACTCACTCATAGTTTTGACAGAAAAGACTGGTAGGTCAAGTCTTACCATCGCTTCATATCAAGGACCTTCCTCTGTGCAATGTCCTCATATGTGGCCATGACCTTTGAGGGCGTGTAAAGTTCGGTAACATCCCCCTTCTCGTGTCTGACGCTTGGTGTCCTGAGACTTGGGATACCTGGAAGGAGTTATCTCCCTTATACTTGCAAAAACAGGACATCTACATCACCGTTATCTCTACAACGTTTTGACGACATTATCACTTCCTACACATTACATTACAGTCCTACCTCAATTAATCTTTTAACTTAATCACAATAACGTCTGAAGATTCAACAATTGTCCTAGAGTCAGGATTGTACATACCGGTATAAAACTGCAAACACTGACTGGCAATACATTATGCAACCATATTTAGTAATACGGTAACCTACGTTATGCAACCATATTTAGTAATACGGTAACCTAAAAATTTACTTTTAGTGAGTGAGTGAGTTAAGATTTCTTGTCACACTTGCAGTATTTCATCGTGACTAAAACAAGTTATACCTTTATGACACATAAACCCAGAATATAGCAAAAACAAAGGGCAGTAAAAACAACTACAACAGAATATAACAGATGTCAAACTAGCATGTAAATCTACATTCTCTTCCCACAGAGGTTACTCCTGTCACGTTACGTAGGAAGATATGACAGAAGTAACCTCTGTGGAAAGAGAATGGCAAATCTAAAACTACAGATAATGCAATATATAATAGATGCCCAACAAGTAAAGCTAGACTAAGGACCATGAGACCTTTGATAGACACACCATGAACATTCCATGTGGCAGTATTGGTATAGATACATAAAAACAAGCTTTCATGGATGTAGAGGTAAAACTGACAATGAGATTCTCTGAACTTGATGGTATATACCTGTTCCTAATTGATAACTACATTGTCAGTTCTTTTTTCTAAAATGTTAGCATACACATATCAGTGAGTTTGCTATCCTAATTCCTGGACCTTGGACCTTCTCAAAGCATATCACAAGTACAGGTGTTCGATTATGATACAACGACAATGCGTAATTATCTCAGCTTTACATTCATTCTTGATTATTTAATTGTTTGTTTCGAACTGGCCATATTAAACCTTTTTATGGTTCTGTGTAGAAAGCAAAAAGCACTTCGCAAGTCTGCAACTCCTACGTTCATGTCTTGGATCCCCCAAATTATCACTAAGACTCCCCCAGACTTGAAAATAGATAGATCCTGGTCTATCCCTCTGTCAGTGTCATTACGTCACTGGTTTGTGTAACTTCAAACAGAGGCTAGACAGTGTCATGAACCCACCTGACTGTTTCTTGCTGGATTTTTTCTTGCCTGAGATATCGGCCACGTCAATCTCCCACACCAAATCCTTAACACTGTCCGGCGTCCTGGCACCATTCTCCAACACATACCTGTTGTCCCCGTACATTGCGTCAGAGTTATCTCCCTTGCCTTGAGAACCTGTTGACTCACTACGGCAACTTGATGTAGATTTTGATAAACTTTGTCGTTTGAGTTCCGTCACAATTTGAGCATGTATTTCCTCTTTGCTCATCAGATCTCCAGAATATTGCAATGATGGCGGTAAATTCCCTGCTAAATTATTTTCATCAAATACTAGGTCATCATTGGGTATATAATCAATTTCTGGTTTAGTGTTTGATAGTGACTTGTTTTTCTCATTCTTTAATTCAACCTGGGCATCATGTTCTGCAGTGTCATCAGAGTTATTTCCCTTAGTTGAAGGTGATTCCACCTCACTTTTGTCAAGTGCACTGGTGGATACAGGCTTTGGCTTTTTCAGTCGACTTTTGCCTGCTCTGGGTATACCAGTTTTAGGAGTAACTGGTCCACCTTCTTCTGCTCTGTGAGAGGAATCCCCATTGGTTGTTGTCACTGCTTCTGACGAACCTTAGTGGAAGAATAATGAACTTTACATGAAGTTCTCAAACCATGTACAAAGGAAAGTTGGTGGCTTGTGATGGTTAAAATTGAAAATAAATGTGAGTTTTCCTACAATCCCACTTTAAATTTTTTTCTTAAAAAGTTGAAGCAATTATCTTTATGTTTGGAGAAAACATGGTAATTCTGAATCCAAACAGAACAATTTTTGCTGAGGAATAATGAAGTTAACTGCCTGCCAAAATGCAGGTCACTGTTCAAGATGATTCTTCCTTTATGAATCTTGTGTTTAAACGTTCATTCCACTTGACATATTTTGTTCTCACAGAGTATTATAATTATGTTACACTGACTGACTGAGTTTTGATTTTACGCCGCTTTTAGCAATATTCCAGCAACATCACGGCGGGGGACACCAGAAATGGGCTTCACACATTGTGCCCATGTGGGGATTCGAACCCGGGTCTTCGGCGTGACGAGCCAACGCTTTAACCACTAGGCTACCCCACCGGCCCTATAAATATGTTACAGAAAAACATCCAAAGAGCTAATAATCATTCTATGATGGTGGCATATTCTACTTATAATGGGGCAGTGGGGTAGCCTAATGGTTAAAGCGCTATCGCCGCCGAAGACCCGGTTAGAATCCCCACATCGTTCAATGTGAAGCCAATTTTCTAAAGATGATGTTACTGGAATATTGTTAAAAGCGGCGTAAAACCAAACTCAGTCAGTCAGTACTTATAATGACAGATTTAGAGACTTAGAGCTGTCGTTCATTCCCAGTTTTTCTAAAGAAGTGTAAATTTTTAAAAGAAATTCCTTTCTATCAAACAAAATAGTTGTTACATAACTTCAGAATCTTTTCCAACAGATCAGTACTCAGAAAATGACACACTATTACACCACTGCAACAGCTTAATCCACAAATCACAGGATCACACTTTTCTCTTGCATGTAAACGGACACGTTTTACTTTAAATCACAGCAATCTTGCCATGCAGAAGATTTAGATTTGCAAAATATTTTGCATTATCAAGATATGTTGTGACAACTGCGATGTGAGGTGTATGGCATCACATGAATACACATCAAAATAATGATATCGCTAGATCTAAGTGAGGATTTCAATGCCTGCAATTGGATCCGTACAACCAATATAAACAAAACATAAATATCAAATAGTTTTTCACATTTAAGGATCTTTTTTCACAATGAATAATGAATTCATGACACAATTGTAAATGTGAAGACTTTAGAAATATGAAATAGATGAAAAACACATGCTATTTGTTGAATGGACTCTGTGAATTGTGACAAATTACTGACATGAAAACGGCAAAGCACAAAAAAATACACTGAAAATTTAGCCGGGGGTCATGGGGGTCTTTTATTGCAGATTTACATCGATCTCAAAAACATTCAAAATGAAACCAAAACCCCGGAAATCTGCAGATCCGTGGAAAATTCACATGTTTGAAATGATCAGTGTTGTATAGTTACAGGTAGACCACAAGGAGATATGTGTAAGACTGTGAGACAATACCTCACCTGCCTTCAGCCCCTGTAACAAGATGGCCGCCTCATGGGCTGCCTGGTAGTCCTGGTTGGCAAGGTGACCAAGTAGCTCTTCCACCTCCTTCACCAGACTGCTGACCACATCCACACTTGCTGGAGCACTCTGACCATTTGTGTCTGTTACCCGGTCATCAGCCTTTTCTTCTTTCTGATTGGCTACAGCTTCATCATCCTCGAAGTCATCCGAGTCATACTCATCAATGATGTATGGTTTAGATTTCCAGTTCCCCATGATGTCATAACTGAGAATAAATGAATAAATACATGTATAAATAAAGTCATGGTGAGTGAGGGAGGGAGTGAGTGAATTTAGTTGAACATCACTTTTATCAATATTCCAGCAATATCACGGCGGGGGACACCAGAAATGGGCTTTACACATTGTACCCATGTGGGGAATCAAACCCGGGCTTTTGGCATGACGAACAAACGATTTAACCGCTATACTACCCCACCGCCCCTGTGAGTGAGTGAGTGAGTTGTTGCACATGTACTCATGTAGCTATCTGCTTCCTAGGTTTCCATTCACCTGATTTAGGAGTAAGAATATATTCTGAAGTGCTGTGTCCGTCATACTAAGAAGTACACATCCATAAATTCTCACCTTATACAACAAGGTACATTAAAAATGGGTACCTGTCAAAGGGAGGGCTATCATGAATCTGTATCTCTACACTAGGACTGATGCAAACCAATGTGTTGTTTGTCGTGCGACAACCCTAGGTAGCATGCCATCATCGACCCCGACGTCAGGTGCATCATCGGCCCAACTTTGGCAAACTTCATCGGGCGAAAATATTTTTAATAAAACAGTTTGAAACGTTATGTAAATGCATGGAACATGTTATGTGTTCATTGGTCAGTTGTCGGCACAGCGCTCTTCAAAAATGCTGATATTAGCCGACGGTGCCGGCTATCAGCCAATGATGGCATACTACCTGTGTTGTACATTTACGACACAGTTATTTGATTCTGGTTAATAACTAGAGCAAATCAGTTGAGGGCAACTCCCCCTAGTCCCTACAAATGTGAGAGAACAAATCAACAACTCATATTCTAAATCCAACTGGATAAGAAATCTTCTATGTAATCTTACTGTCTGTCTGAAAACAAAGAGTAGTTAATGAGCTTTCAAAACAATACTTTGGAACTGGGATTTGGAATGCCATTGAAACAGAAAAAATATAAATTGTAAAAATCCCCTAAAATAGCATAAGGCACCTCTCTGTAGTGGTCTAAAAGTTAGACAAGGGCTATAGTGGTCTAAGTATTAGACAAGAACTATAGTGGTCTAAGAATTAGACAAAGACTGCAGTAGTCTAAGAATTAGAGTAGGACTATAGTGGTCTAAGAGTTAGTTAAGGACTGTAGAGGTTTCAGGGTTACCCAAGTACTTTCTATAACATATCGATGGATGAAGTACAATATTTATAATACTCTGTATGAATGTCGCTACAAAGCCCTGACATTCCGTGAAGGTTGTTACAGAGATTTACAGCTGTGTGTGTGTATTATCTACACTAAGTCGGCTCAGTAATCACATACTTGGGGCAGCCACCCCAATGACATGACCCACTTGTTGTTGAAAAGATCAACATTTAATGGACACCCCACACAGTAGATGACAGACACAAGGAAACATAGTGTCACATATCTGTACACAGGGTTCTCCATACAATAACTAACATTACACTACATCCCGTAAAAATGCGATTTAAGGACATTTTTGTGTGATCGTCTTTCATTACACTATACAGAAACCTGGTGAATCTGATCCTTTAGGTATTACTGTTTGAAAAGCAGAATACCACTGTCACATTCGAAGCACATCTTTTCAATTGCATGAACGACTAATATTTAAGATTATACACAGTTTTCATAAAAATATAAACATAATGCCAAACTGAGTTAAAAATAAATTGGCCTGGATTAAGTGTATACTATTTATGAGTTTGTTGTTGCTTTATTGTTTGGCTTAACATGCACGCAGCTGTCTTTCAGCTACAAAGCAGCAGTCTGTAAATAATGAAGTCTGGACAACACAATCCAGTGATAGATATCATGAGCATCGACCTACACAACTGGGACATGATCACCTGCAACAACAGTGAGTGAGTGAGTTTAGTTTTACGCCACACTCAGCAATATTCCAGCTATAAACAGACAATCCAGTGACCAGACAATCCAGTGATCAACAACATGAGCATCAATCTGCGCAATTGGGTACCAATGACATGTGTCAACCAAGTCAGCGAGCCTGACCACCCGATCCCGTTAGTCGCCTCTTACGACAAGCATGGGTTACTGAAGGCAAATATTCTAACCCGAACCTTCACGGGCACCTGCAACAACAAGCTGGAGAAAGCTGTTCTGTTTATGTGTAGCTTGCAGTGGCAAGAGATAACGTCTTGTTGTATGTTTCTTTGTTTGTTTGTTGTTTAACCCTGCACTCAGAAATATTCCAGCTATGTATGTTACTTTTTATATTACGGCGGTCTGCAAGTGATCGAGTCTGGACCAGACAATCCATTGATCAACAGCACGAGCATCGACCTACGCAACTGGGATACAATGACATATGTCAACCAAGTCAGTGAGTTTGACGATCATGACGGGTTGCTGAAGACTAATTCTAACCTGGATCTTCACAGGTGTAAATTCTTGTTAGATCTATGTAGTTGAATAATTGTACTTTATTAATATAATATAAACACTATTTTCATGGATATTGGCTTCCAGATTGGTGGTAAACCACGATAATGAATCATCTAAGTGATATATATGTGATATGAGACACACAACACTAGGAATGAAATAGCCATATGTTTTGCATTCCATGTAAATCGGAACGTAAACATATGTGTTCATTCTCTGTTTATATGCCTTAAATAAACATCTGAAAAAATATCTGGTTGATTTTTTACCACATACACATTTCCAAGACGGACTGCCTAGTAGGGGGCAGATGAAGATTTCAACAATAATTATTCAAATTAATTATTCCGTGATCAGGGTCCCGACAAGGCATATGTAACATTATGACCTGTCGTAACTCAAAGTTTACAATTGGCTTATGAATATCATAGTACTCTTAATGCTTTGTGGATCGAACACCTACTCTTAATCAGTTCAAATCATTCTTGGGTATTTTTATAAAGAATCAAAACTCAATATACCGGTACTAGAGTCTTGTGATCATGAAAGCCAGCCCACTATCAATAAACCTACCATGTAATCAGACAGACATGTTTCAGCGAGCAGCTCGGCAGTGTGTGTCGACACGAAGCATTAACCTGGTCGTCATATGACAAGTACCTGTATTGTACAGGTAGGTATAGCCTGTCAGTCACCCACACTGGCTACAGAATACACGCCAGGGACACTCAATCACGCATCTCACACGGTAATGGATAGTGACTAGTCATCAATAGAGCCACTTCTCAGTGAACAATTGTCAAATTCCTTTCAACTAGAAACATATATAAAAGAAATTTTGTCGGGTCAAAGTTTTAGCATAAGGTTGGTGAAAAGTAATATATGTGAGCATTAATTTAAATGAATTTAGGTCAGTCAAAGACGTGATCAATTCATAATTAGGAGATAAACATACTGTGTTGGGAAATCAGAGGTATATAACAAAATTATAATAGCTCTAAATCTGATTTAATACCGAACGCGTAGTAACGTGATTATATACCTCTGAATGACTTTGATTAACCAATCACAATCAAGTATTTACTGTAGTCCTTATGCAGTTCACTTTCTTCTGAATCGATGAGCTGCATAATAAATCCTATCACGATGCTACAGGCATAGATTCATCATATTGACATGGAGGAGATATAGTTGCCATACAACGCCATTTTAAAATGTCACCGAGAATATTATCACCATATTAAATATAAAGAAGACAAAAGTATGAAAATTAACATCAAAATCTTACAAGACCTTAAAAATGCTACAGGTATACATTCATCATCTTGGCAGTGGAGAAGAGATAGTTGACATACAAAGCCTTTATAAATTGTTACCGAGTACTGTCACAATATCAACAAAGAAAAAAAAGTTTGAAAGTGACACCAAATCTTACAAGACCTTAAATCAAAACAAAGATGTTAATATACCTTTGCATGTTTCTGGTCTAAAGAAATAGACTGCAAACTAGATGAAAATAAATTACCATAATTTTGCAGATCTTTTGACGAGATGAGAAATGACTTGAAGTGACTGCTTTTGTTATTGTTGTGAGTTCACATACTTGTAGAGAGGACTACTTGTCAGGTATATGTCACCCCAAGTTATTCCAGTGACGAGGGGAGAATCTGACAGCTATAAACCTGTAGTACATATTCCCAGACACACCCTCCGTGATAAAAACAAACCGTGTCACTCCATCTACACAATCAACAAACCTTCACACAGTGACAATGGTCCTGATTCTATCCAAATCTTGAATGTTCCCCATGAGAGGGATGACTATACTTTATGCCACCACTGCAGTTCCTGATAGTCTGGCCAGCGCCAACAAAGACAGACCAGATGCTGAACCAGATGTGTAGGGGGGACATGTGTCAGACCAATCTCCTGTCAAGCAACAACACAGACCAGCAACACTGTAACGCGATACTCTGGGGCTTCTGTTGATATGCTCGGTGGGTCCAACTAACTCAGTCTCCCTCACTTTGGGGGAGCTTTCTTAATGGACTCAGTCTATAGGAGCATCTATGCATTGATCAACTCTCTAGAGCATCTATTATATTGAGTGACTCTTTATAAACTGGCACCTCAGTAGTGACAGAACCAGCATCATTGCATTTTCTATAAACCAGAATCGCTGTACTGAGTGACTCTTAAAAACAAGCATTCCCATATATCAGCATCTCTGTATTGAGTGACTCTCTATAAACCAGCACCCCTGTATTGAGTGACTCACTATAAACCAACATCTCTGTATTGAGTGACTCACTATAAACCAGCATATCTGTATTGAGTGACTCACTATAAACCAGCATGTGAGTGACTCACTATAAACCAGCATATCTGTATTGAGTGACTCACTATAAACCAGCATATCTGTATTGAGTGACTCACTATAAACCAGCATATCTGTATTGAGTGACTCACTATAAACCAGCATATCTGTATTGAGTGACTCTCTATAAACCAGCATCTCTGTATTGAGTGACTCTCTACAAACCAGCATATCTGTATTGAGTGACTCTCTACAAACCAGCATCTCTGTATTGAGTGACTCTTCATAAACCAGCATCTCTGTATTGAGAAACTCTCTAGTAACCAACATCTCTGTATTGAGTGACTCTCTATAAACCAGCATCTCTGTATTGGGTGAATCTCTATAAACCAGCATCTCTGTATTGAGTGACTCTCTATAAACCAGCATCTCTGTATTGAGTGACTCTCTATAAACCAGCATCTCTGTATTGAGTGACTCTCTATAAACCAGCATCTCTGTATTGAGTGACTCTCTATAAACCAGCATCTCTGTATTGGGTGAATCTCTATAAACCAGCATCTCTGTATTGAGTGACTCTCTATAAACCAGCATCTCTGTATTGGGTGAATCTCTATAAACCAGCATCTCTGTATTGAGTGACTCTCTATAAACCAGCATCTCTGTATTGAGTGACTCTCTATAAACCAGCATCTCTGTATCGAGTGACTCTCTATAAACCAGAATCTCTGTATTGAGTGGCTCTCAATATAACCTGCATCTGTATTGAGTGACTCTATATAAAACAGCATCTCTGTATTGAGTGACTCTCTATAAACCAGCATCTCTGTATTGGGTGACTCTCTATAAACCAGCATCTCTGTATTGAGTGACTCTCTATAAACCAGCATCTCTGTATTGAGTGACTCTCTATAAACCAGCATCTCTGTATTGCGAAACCCTCTATAAACCAGCATCTCTGTATTGAGTGACACTGAATAAACCAGCATATCTGTATTGAGTGACTCTCTACAAACCAGCATCTCTGTATTGAGTGACTCTTCATAAACCAGCATCTCTGTATTGAGAAACTCTCTAGTAACCAACATCTCTGTATTGAGTGACTCTCTATAAACTGGCATCTCTATATTGAGAAACCCTCTATAAACCAGCATCTCTGTATTGAGAAACTCTCTATAAACCAGCATCTCTGTATTGAGAAACTCTCTATAAACAAGCATCTATGCACTGAGAAACTCTATAAACTGGCATCTCTGTACTGGGAAACTCTCTATAAACCAACATATCTGCATTGGATAACTCTCTATAAACCAGCATCTCTGTATTGAGAAACCCTCTATTAACCATCATCTATGTACTGAGTGAGCATCTCTACACTATGTGATTCTCATTAAACCAGCACCTCAGTACCAGTTGACTTACTATAAACCAGTACTTCTGTACAAACTCACTCTCAATAAACCATAAAGTCCTTATTAAAAACACCCTTTATAGCATCATGGACATGCACTATGACAGTATCTGTATTTTCTTTCTACCTTTCAGTAAATTAAGATGATGAAGATAGTTGCATGATTTCAGCATCATGAGAGGGCTTCTTGAAGACAGGTGAAGTGATTTAACTTTGAGTTAATGATTACTCCATTTATACCAGCTGCCTGCACATGTGGTGTGTGTGTGTGTGTTGCTGCTTGTACTAGATCAGACTAATGGTGGTTTTACACTAAACTACAGTGCTATCCCGCTGAGTTACCATGCCACAGTTTAACACAGACACAAATTCAGACACAGTCTGGCTCACATCACAGTCAATGAGCCACATTATTTTCCCTACTGCCTAGCCCTCTCTGCAGTGCTAAAGCCCTAAATAAAGCAAGTCTAGATTTGTCAGGTTCTGAATCTCTGGTCTCCATGGGGCTTCTTTTCAATCTAAATGGGCTTGTTTGTTACTATCAAAATTCTATATATTCAGAGAGAAAGTGTTAGTCTAATTCAGACACAGTGTACTGACTCCGGGACAGCCAGACTTTGTTCTGTCCTCTCTGGACACCAGTCACAGCAACCATCTTGTAACATCTGTCAGTAGGATTCACTCCCACCCTCCAACCACTCAAGGGGCAGATGCTCTATCCACTACAACACTGAGACGTTTTTTCACAGACAGAAGAAGTCAAACAGGATATAGGATTTCATGGACTGCTTCACACAATGTCAACAGTAAAGCTATGCCTGTGAGATCAGCCAGATCTCTGTGAAAACTTTCCAAGCACCTGTTACGAGCAGTCCCTTGTATCTGGGTGTTCTGTGTGGGGTGCTGTATAGGTGACACATTCTCCACCAAACAGATAATCAAGATAAGTTTATTGGCCTCCTACTGAGTTTGATCCTTGTTGTTACTGTCAGCACCAAATTGGCTGTCTGAGTGATGGTTTCCACAGGTTACATGCTTAAATAATACACTGTACATAGCTGCTGTAACATACACTGTACATACCTGCTGTAACAAAAGTCCAACCTACCAACAAACCCACCCACCAACAAACAACCAACCGACCAACCATACAACCCACCAATCACCACACAACCAAACAACCAACCATACAACCCACCCACCACAGGTCTAACAACCAAACAACCCACCCACCCACCACCAAACAACCAACCCACTAACCAACCAACCAACCACCAAACAACCCACCCACCATCCAACCAAACAACCCACTAACCAACCAACCCACCCACCCACCACCAAACAACTAACCAATCAATCAATCAATCAATCAATCAATTCCCAAAGGATTCCAGAACAATTCTTAATTTCAGGCATTCTTGGCTTGGGTTGGACTCCCTTTTATGCACCCTCTAGGATCTGGGAGACAGGCAATCCTTTATGAATGATATGGGATCTAGTGTTCATGATCTAACAATTGGAGGCAAATTTATCTGTCAGTAAAATGTAGGTATTATCAGTGAATGTTTTCAGTGACTCAACCTTACTGGACAAAACGATATACACTTGTACCACCTAGTACATGTACGTGATACCTTTCCCAAACTTTAAAACAAATAGAGCAAAAAACCACCAAAACAGAAAAACTCTGTGAATCCTTAAGTCCATGCAATAAATAAATAAACAAACAAACATACAAACCTCGCCCTTAGGTGCCGCAGTTCGAATACAGCTTTTCTTACACCATACAGTCAGTGGAACAATCACCCCTATACAACACTCACCCCTTCTCTGCTCCAGCAGGTTAAACTCATCTATCTTTCAGCTCCAAAATTAAGAGAACTGTGGTTTCTATAGAA